CGGACAAAGGGCCTCCACAGTACAAGCTAGAGAACGCAAAGCGGTTACCCACCCCTTCTTGCCTTCGAGACCTGTTGGACAAGTCTTTGGACGAGGCCTCTCTGAGGGTTCCTTTGACCCCAGAAGCCGCCGCACGCTATCGACGAGCGTTGGGGAAACTGTCTTGGTTGAGTGCTACTCGGGGTGACCTAGTGTACTTTATCTACGTTTTAGCCCGTGGCCAGAGCTCCCTCTTGAGGTTCACGAACGTGCGATGAGGGCAGTGTTGCGTTATCTCTAGACTGTGGTGCACTATTTTCAGGTTTTCCCTCGGCAGCGCCAGTCTCACATGGTCTTGCGCGCTTACGTGGATGCTTTCTGGGGAAGTGAACGATCTGTGGAACGCCGCTCTATCTCGGGAGGGTGTCTGATGCTTGGCAAACCGTGGGAGCAAAACGATGGAGACCACAGTTTTTGACGGTTTGGCGGGTTCATTAACGACGAGCCCGGAAAAACCCGTAGAAAATGTGCTCTTGCACAAAAAGCCTCCACAGTACTCCTCAAGAACATCTTGCATGTACCTCCGTTCCATGCCGAATTTCAGGTCTCCTGTTCAGATTTCAAAATCACAGCCATGTAATTGCTTATCTCCACACTCCTCTGCAAGCTTAGGCTACAGACTAAAGACAGCCGTTGCTGTGGGCATTCCTCGGATCAGTACGCATAGCCTGTATTTCGACTTTGAAAATAAACAGCTAGCTTCGTCCGTGAACATACTTCACTAACGGCGATCGCTGAGTTTGCAGGCATTTCCTTTATTCCGAGGTTGTTCAGCAGTTCATTACGGTTGATGAGCAGGATTCATTTAAAGCTGGTGACACCTTGCCCGTGGCGAGCTGGTGACAGTTGCCGTGCTCTTCATCGAAGCACAACACACACACACAGCATCGAAAACATGAGCAACATCACGCCGAGGAAATCAGGACGCTCAAATTGCTTGCCAGTTCACTACCTTTTTGTTGGTGGTATGATTTCCCATATTAGGCAGTGCATAAGCGCCATTGTGAGCTTGTTGTCTGGCGAATTGGGTGGAGATCGTATCCGTTTGTTTTGTTATAATGATTATATACATGACCTATGGAAACCTGGTGTAAGCATTGGTTCAAGGAGTGGCTGCAGTTGTCGCATGAGGCTGTACACATGCATGGATATATCAGGCTCTGGAGACTGCAACATAGCCTGATTATTCCGTAACCGTGTCTCGACCGGCTCTCTGACCGTTGTGTTTCGGATTGTGCTGTACCCAGTCGCCATGGGTGCTTGCCACAGCTCCACCCCTGCGACAACGCAAATTATGCGAGGCGGCAGCTGCAGCTGTTGCCTATCGGGCACAGGGTCATCAAATGCTGTATCATGTACAAAAACTATAGGACATATATTTGCTCATATATAGATAGATAGATAGATAGATAGATAGACCTATACATATATGAATGTTATGCATCACATAATCAACATATGTATAGATATGTGTATGCATACATGTAACATGTGTATGTACATATGAACATAAAGATACATATGCATACACATGCAAGTTACAATTCTAAGCAAAATAATATAGAACATATAATTCTAGCATGTGGGAACCATTCGCTTTGCAATGTTGGAGGCAGTGAGGCAGCCACGCTGCTTGTGGAGGCACATCGGTTGACTGGAGTGGCTTTCAACACAAACTTGTTGCATGCGGCGATGTATCCCTGTGCGGAACGGCAGTTTCCGTTGTACACATGGTTGTGTCCCATCTCAAATGCCATATTTAATCGTGCAACCAACCCCAACCTTGCATATCAAATCGAAGCAGCTAGCAAGCATCACGAGTTCCAAAGACTGTTCGTTTTGCAGCCGATGCTGGCCAGGCTTTGCCATTGAAGCTGCCAATGCCAAGCTCCCCGCCGCATCGCCGAGATGTCATGGCATGAGATGCAAGCGTTCCGCCTATCCACGAGATTCTAGAGGTGATAAAAGCTAACCGATGATGACATTACCCGAATCTCAGATCTTTGCTGACGTTTGGCGAAGTCTGATTAGGTCAAAGAGCACTTCGGATTGGCTGCGATGTTATTTCTCGAGAGGCCTAAACCGAACCCTAAACTGCAAAGTTTGTGAACTTTAAGCGAACCTTCAACCCTCAAGCCCGACACCCTTCAGTTTAGTTTTTCGATGAACCAGCACTGCCCCCTTGAAGAAGTTGATAAGAAGGCTTATATATCAGGATAACGATGAACTGCCAATCAGGTAGTCGCCTTTGAATGTCGGGGACACGATCATGTTCTCTGTTCACAGCAAAAACGAGATGCGCAGGTATTCTTCAGGGTGCAGAAGGTGAGGAGTCTAGTTTTGGAAGTTGTATAAGAGCCGATGGTCGGTAGTATTGTCTTCTAATGCGCCAGTGAGAGATGTGTCTCTTTCCCTGACATTGGCTCACAAGTCTAGTGTAGGCAACACCGTGTGCTTTTTTTCGCGCCAGTCCGCGCTGTGACGCGATGGGCGCCTGGGGACGGTCGCGGCTGTGGATGAGGTGCCTCTCAAGGTGCCAAGCGGCAACCTTCGCGGCTCCTGCAATAGCTCGACCGGTCGAAAGATGGGATCTGCGACCGTTTGCAGCGATGTTGACAGTAGCACTCACTGCGGAGCAGGCCAGGAGGACCCAGCTCCAGAGCCAGGGATGCGTGGGTTGTGCCTCCACGCAGCGCGTTAGCCTCGGCCAAGCCACTGAGTTCGAGGACGCCAGCATGCGCGAGGTGAAAATTGAGGGGGGAGCCGGAGTTCTGGTACATCGACACCAGGGTGAGTTCTTTGTGACCTCGCCAGCATGCGGCCATTACGGCGCCCCGCTTCGAAAGGGCATCAGCTCTGCCGGAGGCCGCAGGCAAAAAACCCCGAATTCTCCCCAAAAAGTGTGACTCCTGAACTCTACGATCCCTTTTCCTAGCCTTTCAATCCTTATGAGCTGTATACGCCCGTAAGAGAATACAAAGCTTACGAAGCGTACAAGCCCCACAAGATGTTTCAAACTGCCAGAAACCCTAAACCCTAAACCCTGAAGCCCTAAACCCCTAAACCCTGAAGGCCGTGGTGGGCCACCGACCGTCACATGCCCTCTTCACGACGCCACCTTCGACCTCAGAACCGGCCAGGTGGTTCGAGGCGAGGGTTTTAAAGTTTATTGGTTTAGGGTTTAGGGTTTAGGGCGGCTCAGGGTTTAGGGTTTGGGGTTTAGGGTTTAGGGCGGCTTAGGGTTTAGGGTTTGGGGTTTAGGGTTTAGGGCGGCTTAGGGTTTAGGGTTTAGGGTTTATGGCTTGGGCTTGGGGCTCAGCACTGTAAGGCGTTCTTGTGTCCCAGGAGCTAAGGTTGAAGAGACGTAAGGCTTAGGGTTCCAGGGCTTCAGGTTTTGAGATTTAAGACTTTGGGGTGTTGTGGGTTCGGTTCTGGAAGTATTAGCTTGGGGCGGTTGTAAGGGCCGGATCTTTTGCTGCCTCTTGGTTCTTGTTTCATCCGGGTCCTTGCAGCAGGTTGTCATCGTTGAGGGTGATTAATTATGAGAGTTCCTTATTATAAGTATAGTATCATATACCCCAAAACCCTATTCTAGTTTCGGATGTAGGGTTTAGGATTGGGGTTCGCGGGTGCAGATATTTTCTCAGTTCGCGGATGCCGACGTCGGAGGGCATCTCGAGTTCAGGTCCAAGCATCTTCGGGCTTCTCGTTCAGAGTTTGCAGGCAGGTGAGCCCTGCAGCATAGACCCTGAGCCTATGGCCTATGCACCCCCAAACAAAACTTCTGAACATGAAACATATAAACCCATTGCCCTGAAGCTCTTTTAGCCTATAGCTGCTAAACCTTGCACTCGTAAGGGTTTTGAGGGATCTGACCTCGGAGCTCGCGGTCAGAACTCAGAGCTGTTTAGGACTTCGGGTTTCAACTTCAGAGCTGTTTGATAGGTGTTGTGATGTTGGGTTCAACGGGATAAAGCAACAAGACACCTAGCTCCTGAACCTTATCACAAAGCCCCAAACCACGAATCCAAAACCCGACCCTAAACCGAAATCCTGTTTCCCCAAACTGTTTCTCTTAGATGCCCAATCTAGAACGGATCCACATGATGGCAGCTCATGTTTTCACATGCAGATGGGCACAGGTCTTAAGGACTTCAGGGCTCAGGGCTTTGGGGTTTAGGGGGTATGCCCAAAGGATCAGTGGACATGGTAAGAAAACGACTGTTGCAAGGAAGGAAGCAATGGAAGCTGTGATCAGTCCTGTTGTTCACCCGGATAGGGTACACGAGACCTTACTTCTTGCTACCCATGAGATTTCAAGCATGGTGTTGGGTTCGTGGTGGAACCAATGACTTTCCATCCCTGCTTTCCTGAGGGCCCAGTGTGGACGGCATCGCAGTCTACAAGTCCGAGGCCACATTGCAATTTAAACTTCAATCTTAAATTTACTCATGCTTTTATGGAACCTGATCCAGTACTGCTACATTCCCGAGTAGGTAGCTGGACATGAGTGTGTGTGTGTGTATATTTATATACACAGATGTCTGTATATACATATAGATATAGATGTAGATGCATATACGCACATACACATACGTTCGCACACACACACACAGACACACATCACACTCCGGTTCTGTGAGTATACATGGCTACACAAATCTGTAAACATGCGAATATGTATATGTATATGTACACATGTCTGTGTGTGTATATATATATTTATATATATAAATATTGATTAAGTACGGGTATGTATGTAAAAATAAAAACATGCCCACATATATACACGAATAAATATACATATATGTACATCCTTATGAGCACATATATGCGCGCATGCTTATACCACCACCAATGTATTCATCGTAATTTGTACAACTCCCCCCTAAAAAGGCCAGTGCATATGGGTAATTCTCTGAATTAGGGTCCCTGTTCTTTAGAGAATTACCCTTAAACCCTAAACTTATCGATCTTTTAACAAGGACCCCCCCCTTAAAGGAACCCTTATAGAACCTTTAAAGGAACCTTTTATATGTACGTGCCTAGTCCCATGCGAAGCATTCGAACCCGGAGTCCATGTGATTTTTGGGGTCCCGTTTTAAGGGTTTGGGGTCAAGTTTAGGGTTAAGGGTTGCAGTTAAAGTGTTTAACATTTTAAAGTTGAGGGTGTAGGGTTCAAAGTTTCATTTAAGGTGCTTAATACTGTATTTCAAGTTCATGGTTTGGGGTTTTAAGATCTTGAGCAGGTGAAGAATGGCGTCCTATTCGCCGACCTCCCGCCAGAGCTGGTGGCTGGAACCGGTAAGCATCCGAAGGCGCTTGCAAGTCCCCAAACCCCTCTTGCAGGAATTGAAACCTGTGACCCTAAACCCTACAAAATAGTAGGTTATGACCCCTTAAATAGAGGGTAGAACCCTTAAAACGGCAGGATTTCTGGATCCCAAGGAAGGAACCTATGTGCATCATGCAAAGCTTAGGCTTATAGACACGCAGCGGTAGTCTGGCGCCGTGGATGCCATTCCACGGACAAACTACGGTAGATTTTGTTCGGATGGGGTGCGGGCCCTTTGGCGGACGCAACGCAACTGCAACAGCCAGCGCAAAGAAAACTGGCCGACGAATCACAGGCCTGTGGAGCCATGCGGGGCCAACACCGAGCCCCAGTCAGTCTCGTGTCCGTTTGACGCAGCGCTGCACGACGGCATCTGCTGCCCTTCAAAGGCGTTTGCAGCAGCACTTGCCAGCTGCGGCATGGTGAATCGAGGGCCACGGAAGGGATGTGCTCTGAACCCCAAATGCCAGCATAGCTAGGGCGACGGCGCAACTACGGTCGTGGCGGAAATCGGCAGACATGGCAGTCATGCCAGGTTGTGCCTTGCATCAGTTTCCCTGCTCTTTGAATAACACGGTGCAGCGAACATCCTTCGGCATGCCTCCCTACACGTGCACTGATGGGCAAGGGTTCTATCTGCTCGATATCTGCTCGTCGCTCAAGCTGAAAGCGCACCAGGCGACCTGCCCTGATACCCGCCCTCTGCTCGTTTGCCAAGCCTCCCAGCCTGAGGAGGTTCACACGCGGCTCTGTGATGGGGACGTGGTATTTGCGCATCGCGGCAAACCAGCGCACGCTGTGGGCCCATGCGGCTTCTTCCTCCAACATCTTCTTTGCATCCCTCCCCCTCTTACATCCCTCTACCAGTACACACACTGTGCTTTTCCACGCGCCAACACCTTGCGCGACTTGCCCCCAAGCCGTGAAAGCGGATTCTACCAACTTGCAGAACGCTGCCATTGTCGCTGCCTTGCACACAATGCCGGGTCTCGCGGATGTACTGCTGCGCGGAAGGCGTGGCCTTGCGCTTCAGACGCCTCCACCTCGGCTTACACGAAACCGCTGCCGACCGGATGGACACTGTGGCCTGAATGTAGATTCACGGAAGACACGACTGGGAGAACCTGGCAGGCTAACACAGCTGTGCAGCAAGATGCGAGCTCACTCCTGTCCGATCTGTAGGCTGGATTGCACGAAGCCCTCTGCACGCTGGACGGAGAAGTTTTTCGTTTCAGAAATTTCAGTTGTCAGATTACCCTATAGAACGGGTACGACCCGAACCCATTATCGTGCAGGCTCATTCCAGCATTGGAACAACAGGTAGTCAACCTTGTGAGATGTACAGCAAGGGGGAGCAAGAAGGGCTACTCCACACAGCAAAACTCCCACTTGCAGGATCTTGCAGGGATGTTCTTGATATGCGGGAAGCTGGTCGGCGCCACTCGTCCGCCGTTTTGGAACTTGGGGTTTGGATGGTCGTCGGCGCACCATCAAAAACACGGCAACCAAAGAAGACGGATGACATGAGCGCCTCGAGGGGTTATCACGGTGCCAGTTCCGAAAAGGGGTTGCGCCGAGTGTCCACTGTCCAGCTCGCCGCAGTGATGGGGTCTCGGTGCACAACCGCGTGTGAGGACCCGGTTTGCCACTGCAAGGTTTAGATGCAAAGACAGATGTCCAAGATCGTCAGCCATGAACTGACTGCCGATGTTGTCATTGCCTTTGCCTTGCATTGGCCCGTTCGAGTCAAGCTACCGTCCTAAAACATCATTTGGGACAGGAACGTGAAGAGAGGTCGCTGTGCTTTTATGTGCTGCATTTGCCCCGCCTCATTTGGAAAATGTTGAGCGGAAATGCTCAATCGGTCAGCCCAGTGTGTCGCAGGCCATCTTATGCGTTTGACAGCTTATTGAACGAAATTGGATTGCCATCCTGATGTTGGCAGATTTGGCAGCCAGCGGCAACTGAAGTTTGGCCAAACAGACTTTGCGAATTCGATATATTCGTTCTGGTGCGAGCACGCGATTGTCAATGGAGCGAAACGGACACTGTGTCGGCTCGCCTCGGCCAAGGCCGTCGCTACTTCCCCACGCTTGTGGCCGCACATCCGCCGGGCCAGCCTCCACCGATGGACAGGGATGCTAGCGGTGGCGGCCCAACGTGCGTACGCCATGTCGCTCTCGGACTTGCCGCTGGGCACGGCCCCACACTCGCTAAGCAGGGTCGTCGCGGACAGCCGCCTGCCAGCGCCATGAGCCAATTGGCATGGCGTGTAGGTAGACACCGCCAGGCTCAAGGACATCTCCACGTGGGGTGGCAACAGGCATCAACAAGAAAAGGACCCTGCTCATGGTGTCGCGTACAGGCGATGCAACTGGCCCAAGCTGATTTTCTTGCCTCAATCCTCGCAGCCGTCCGCATCGGGGGCATCGTTGCTTGCAAAAGTCAAACGGATGTGGCTTGCGTGCCATTGTGGTCGAGGAATGTTGGGGATGTCCTGCGCCGTCTGGTTGCACCCTGGTCCAGGCTGTCGCTCCACAGTTTGAGAGCAGCAGGCCTGTACAGGCTCAGCGAGAGAGTGGGCAGTGAGGCTCTGCCGCACGTTTTTCCGCGGCTACCGAAATCGATATTCGTGCCACTGTACTCTCTTTTGATGCCGCTGAGGCATTTTACCATGTTTGCTCCCTGGGCACGGCCAGAGCTGCGTCCGCTCCTCCCGTTTGCCCGCCAAATATACGGCTTTCTCAGCAGCTATGCATGCACAGATGGACGACGCATCAAGCACCACATCGCCCAGGGCGAACGGGGGAGCAAGGGGATCCCTTAATGCGGGTGTTGTATTGCTTCCCCCAACAACCAGTTTATGAAGAGGCCCAAGCGCGAAATGGCGATGCGATCTTGGTTTACCTCGACAACAGTTACACCGTCGTCACGCTTGACCGTGTCTGCGAAATCACGAGGCGCACCGGCAATCACTGTGGGCCCAGGCACGCGGCGAGGAACCAAATGGAATCGCGGCGTTGCAAGGCGATCCAGAAGCTTTAGTGTGCGTAGCGGGAAGGAAAAAAAAAGGACTCACGATCCTCGGCAAACCGAGGCCCCCGAAGCGCAATGACAGGCATGCAGCACGCGTCGGTTCCACCGGCAGCGGGCCGTCTTGCAAGACAGAGGAGCGTCGTAAGGCAACGGGTCATGGCTCTGTCATGCTGGCTTGCGTAGTCTGCCAGAGCAGCCGGAGGCAGCGCAGGAAAAGCAGGCAGCACGTAGTTGGCCCACGGGCTGGCACCGACCCGTGCAGCTGATGCGGGCCACATTCCCTCCCTACCTCCACGGCAAGGGAATCGACGTGCTTTCTTGTGACGATGCGGTTCCTGGAAAGACCAACATACGTATCATACGTTTCCGAGGTGACGTGCCAGCCGATGAATTACACCGGCAGGCAACAAATTGTCACGCTTGCTTATACCTTGTATGCGGCGGATGCGGAGTACCGGCACGTGCATTTTACGTGGCCTGGCTAGCGGGGGAATGAATCAACCGGAATAAAACCACACTGTCATAATGTTCTGGAGGGAGGACTGGGTTGAGGAGTCGACTGCGAAAGGGGGTTGCAAGGTCGGCAACAGCAACATGCAGTCAGGAGTACGACGAACTTTCTTTTCGTTGGTGTCACCGCTCTTCCGAGCCATCCTGTTGCGCAGCTTTCGCCTGCCCCTGCCAGATGCCGTTGCCGTGCACACCTCGATCCTTGCGGCGACCACCTCGCCGCCCGCACTCCTGCATTTTATGGGCGAGGGGCGTCAGAGTGTCACAGGTGGGCCAGGAGACTGGCAACCCGTGGCGGGCATGTCAGAAGCAGCATTATGGGCCAGCATGTGACAACACCCAGCGGAGACGGGAGGCGTGATATTTTTTGGACGAGTTCGACACTAAGCCATGGAGTCAATGTTAAATATTTGCGTGCAGAGCATTGACAAACAGTGATAGAGCACGACAGAGCCATGGGGGTCGAATGGCGAAGCTGAAATTTGGTGGCACGTGAAGATGATACACCCTGTTCATGCACATCTGGGCATTTCTTTTCGAAAGCCAAATCGCGGAGTTGCAGATGCCGAAAGTTGCACAAACGTTGACCTTCACTTGGGTAAAACACGTGTTTCAGCTCTTCGGTACCGGCGGAGCTGTTTGACCCGCCGGTGTGCCTTGGTGATTGGGCAGTACCCGCATCCGAATGCTTGGGGCACCTCCTTGGCAGGAACGAACTCCTGGTCCTCGATCGCTCAGTACGGTCGCCTTGGGCGCGCACGCTCCCGTCCTGCTCTCCAGGCAGCCCCGCTCAGCAGCGGAAACGTTGCAGCCGACGTTCTTTAATTGTTGTACATGGAGGTGTGGCGCTTGCTTCTGCTGTGGGGCAGGCCTTCCAAATGCCACCGTGAGACACTCTGCTGTAGCCGGCCCACCCACGCGTTTCGGGGCTGGCAACGTGGTGCGGTGGCTTGCCAAGACAGGACAACCTGCCAGAGCTTGTTTGGAGCAATCATGCGGAATGCTTTTGTCCCCAGTCCCCAGACGAGCTTTGCTGGGCCGCGAGCCGTCATTGCGCTCCGCGGCGTTAGCCGCAGCTTTAGGTTGATTCGATATACAAACGATATACAGTAGGGAGGCTGAGCTTTCCCGGCTGGCGAACAGAGTCCTGGATGCAAAAGGCTGAGCACGTCGAACCGTTGGTGCAAGCGGCACCAAAGACTGCAGCGCATTGCCGCTGCCGGCAACCGCATGACTTGTTCGGCGACCAGCTCGCAGCATGTCCTCGGTCAAGCGTCCTTCGTGCTAGGGGCGGGCCCCTCGAGCGCGCTGCCGCCCGCATCTGCCGGGAGGCCGGAGCCACCGTTGCCCTCAACGTCCGGTTTGGAGACCTCAACGTTGATGCCGCCCGGCAAGATGAGCGCTGCTTCGAAGTCATTGCTGACGGTTTTGCGCTCTGGGGGGCGCGCAGCTTGCAGTTGTCACTACACTGGTCTCCCCATTGACTTCTGCTGGAGCCCCCGCAGGTCTGCAGGTTGCACTGCCGGCGCTGCACCCGCACTCGCGCGCAAGGCCACGGAACGCACCTATACCCAGAGCTCCGACAGTCCGCGTGATGCAAGCTTGTCGTCCTCGCTCCCGAGCTCGGTGGCCGCTGAAGCACTGAAGCTGCCACCTTTGTCAGACTTCTGACGCGCTTCTCGAGGGCCGCTCCGGTTTCCTCCCGTGGTCCCAGCATTTCGGCCTTTACCGCCCGATGGTCGGCCCTGCTCTCCTTTGCGGCTGCCCGTGCCTTTGCTGCAAGTCTCGTCTCCTTGCCCCTCGGCGGTACAGCCAATGTCGATGGCGAACCCCAGCTGCTGAGCGACATCCTCGCATACTCTTCCCTTGAGCCGCTCTTGCAAGCCGCATGCTCTAGGAAATGTAGCGTGCAATCGGGCTGGCCTAGGTTCTGCACTGGGACCGCCTGGCTTGGATGTCGGTAAAAGGTGCGAGGGAGGAAATAAAAGTGCTGGGCGCATCAGAGCCGCTTCCCAGCGAACGCCCGGTCCGTTTCCCGAATGCAGGAAACGCTGAAGTGAGGGTTTGTTGCCATGTGCTGCCGTCGTATGGGACACCTGCCCTGCAGCTTGACTTCGGCGGCGATGCAACATTGGCCGATTCGTCTGACGTGGATAACAGGCAGACGAGCAACGCCTGTTTGGTGGGCGGGGCGGTGGTGGAGGTGGAAGGGCTGTCGACGGGAGATTCGAGGCACAAGTCAAGTCGCAGGACAACAGCAATCAACAGTAGCACAACAAGCCCATCAGCGACTTGATGCAGTGACGACGGGCAGGGTTACCACAGCATCCACAGCGACAGCATGTGCTTGTACGAATTTGGTCTGGTCGATTTTCCTACGACCAATCCGTGACGATGGGGCAGGCAAAGATATCGGCAAACCGTACTACTGGTTTCGGACCCCTGCAGTGGAGGCGGTGGTGGCGGTACAACAATGCGGCTTGAGTGGAGAGACACGAGGAGGGTCCAGCTGAGGGGGCGCAGGCGACTGATTGGCGTTCTGCAAACCACTGGGGTTTGCAGGACGCTCATCGACCTCGAAGCATTGTGCTTAAGCGCAACATTTGAGATTGCAATCTTGGATGGCCACTGTCTCAGGCGTTGCTGCAGCAAGCTCTGACGCTGCATCGGGGCAGTGGCTTGGACTTGCCGCCTGTTTAAAAACTCCACTTGCACAATCATCTCCAAAAAGTTCTGCGAGCTTGCGGAGTCCGGATCCAGTTAATCCAGTTGTGACACCACTGCGTCTAAAACTGTTGCCCGTTGAGGTGCGGTCGACAATTCCGTAATCTGCCCCGTTGTCCACGATTGAAACAACGGTAAAACATGATGTGTAGTGCGGGAGGCGTCGCCATGGAATGCCCCGACCACGGGCTGACCAGCAACCGGGCCTCGCCCCAGACCAGGCAGTCGACCGCAAACATCGAACTGACCCGGAACTGCAGCAAACTCTGGGGGGCAGGTCAGCTGCAGCACCCTCACGTTTTTGCGACTGCTCGCGCAGGCGCGGGCTCGCCAGCAGGCTACGTGGTGCGCTGCAGCCGGGTTTTGTTGATCCATGCTTGCGAGACAGCCGCCACCCGCTGAACCAGGGGCATGCTTGGTCGAGCCTTGCTCATTGACCGGGAGTTTGACCGGCGTGGCAACGCCCATATCGAGAACCCATGTGCATCTGCCAGCACCCAGCATGTTGGACAAAGGCAGCGGACGTACGATTTAAAGAAGGCGAGCGCCAATAATTGATGTCACAAAAGTTTGAATCGAGATGTGGAAAATATCCTGTCCAGAATCCGGCGGTGAGCTTGCCTGTTACTTCTGAAAGGGAGAAGGTGCGGATGATAAGCGGCCCGCAACCTGGCGCTTACGATATCCGACCGCAGACTTTCAGGTGACTTTTTGTATATGCCTCGCAACGGGGGCGCGTGTGGACGAGGCAGCCATGGATTTCGCCGCAAATGAGCGGCTTGCGCCGATGGCAATATTCCGCAGTTGAACACGGCTTGCTGTCGCGCAGACATGCCACAGATCCAACAGGGTAGGAATTCTTCGCTGGCTTCCGCGGCATCCGTCGTTAGATTGTTGACAACAATTTACAAAGATTTGTGGCGTCAGAGGCCGCCAGGACAGGGTGACCGTTGATTAATATTGATTAATACAACGATAAGCATGGGTTGATGTGTATTCACACCCAGTGCAGCATTATGTGCTCGCTGATTGTTCAGGAGTCTTTGGTAATGTGCACATTGATCCAATTGTTGCTTGTGTTTTGAAGAGCCATGTTGCAGGTTTTAAAGCAGATGTCCAAGCGCAAGTCTTCGGACAAGCGCGTTTTCGCACTGCTGGGCGGCGGCCCTGCCTCTCTGGCTGCCGCAGAAACGCTGCGCCAGGAGCTACACTTGGGCAAGTTTTATCCCATCGGTTGTATCAGCTAGTTATTTTTTGTTATAATGTGATGAGTTCTTTATGGTGCCTCGATGTGCAAAGGACCTTGAGGATGCATGTTCGATTTGTGTTATGCACAGTCACCTTCATAGTGTTTATTACATACATATCGCTGCAACATCAATGATTCTAATTCTAATTGGTGTTACGTTTTATCAGTTTTTTTGTTGTGATAAACATTGTTGTGACGCGACCATTCTTGATGCATGTTCGTGTTCGTATGTCTCCAAAATCACACTTGGACATGCGACGATGCCTTGCGATGCTTTGCTTTGTATGTTTGTATATGTAAGAATGACGGCAAGAGCCGACATCGAATTGTGCCAGCTCTGCAGACAGGAAGGCTTCACCGGTCGCATCGTCATGGTCACCCGCGAGCCGCATCTACCATATGACTCTTCGGCATAAGTGTTCCCGCAACGAGTGGCATGCTTTCTGGTATGGATGCTAGTTCACAGCAGCCTGTCAGCCCAGGACCGAGTACAGCTTTCCAAAGCGCTGGACAAGCCAGCAGCCCAACCGAGTTTACGCCTTTCATGTTCAGGGCTTCAAGGTGTGTAAAGAGTTTATGCAGCGCGGAGTTGGTGGGGAGGTTGGTGGGATCCGTGCGGGAGCGTTTCCGATGACCGATGTATGGGTTATTCTTTTTTTTTTGTGGTGTACTGCGAGGATATGTGCTATGTTGAGATCATAAGGTAGAAAAGCTGCTGCTTCGACCAGAAAGCTTCTACAAGGACTGCGCGATCAAAGCTTGGTAGCTGGAACATGCACGGCCGATGTCTCGCTTGCAACTTTTATCAGAGACGCTTCCAAAACCAACACAAGGTCATGCCTCCACATCATTGAATGAACATGTTGCCAGGATTACGACATTGAGGTCGTTCGAAACGCTTCCGTTACCAAGCTGGACACCAAATCGCAGAACGTGCACTATGCCACCGGCGATGCTCAAAAGGATCGTGTCTGCTTGCCAGTATCAGTTCATGCAGATGCATCCAGTAGCATGTCTTGCTGCACGCATGCCTTCGAAAGCAGCGCCCTTTCCTATCGTGTGCAACCAGGAAACGCTCCACTACGACAAAGTTCTGGTTGCTACGGGGGGCACCCCCCGGAAGCTTTTCGTACCCGGCTCCGACATGAAGAACATCTTCACGTTGAGGCTGCATCAGGGACATGAGACATGCAGTCAGCATGCTGCATCCACACGAATCATTGCCTCACCGCGAAAACCATGAATTGAAAGACAGATGGAGGGCTGGAGGTTGTACAATTGTGAGCCTGGTCCATCAGGACTCCCGAAGATGCGGCGAAGATCGCGCAGTTGGCCAAAAAGGGCCAGAAGATGATTGTGGTAGGCGAGCTTGTTTCAGCGTGTCAGGGACTGCTTGAGGAACATACAATGAATCATGCAACCCACGACAGTTCACACGCATTGTTGTCTGATGAAAGGTGGCGCAGGCAACAGGCAAATGTTCTAAAGCTGCGGACGGTTCTGTGTGCGTGGCATGTTTTGGGATGTTGTATGATGTCCAAAAGTTGCAGCCAGAGGTTGGCACTAGCCGTCGGTAGCCAGCAGGAGGAGACTTCTGCATCGGCTAGATAGACAATTTAAAGATTCAGACAACTCTCAACTGCTCCTGTTTATGGTCGTGCTGTCCTAGTGTGGGGTTCCAAGTTTCCAGGTGGGTCTTTCATCGGCATGGAGGTGGCCTCTTCGTTGGCCAAGAAAGGCTGCGATGTGGCAGTGATCGCCATGGAGACGGTGCCCTTTGAGCGTGTGCTGGGCAAGAGTTATGGCTGAAGGAGTAACCCTTAAGCTCCAAACCTTTAAACGAACCCTTAACCCCACACCCTGAATTTCGGACTCCGGCAGCCCCACAAGCGATGTACAAGCAGTTTTCGGGACCAGGAAGGGGATAGAATTGGCCATAAAGCTCGCTTTGTGTGTCAGCATGTTTGCTGCGATCTTTCGTGGGGCCGTATGTCGGATCGAACACCCCAGAGCTGTTCCATTCGCCAAGCTTTCGCCATAAAACAGGAGAATATGCCGAAGCAAGCTGCGGACCCGAAAAGTTGAATTCTACTATAAATCACCTAACCCCTAGACCCTCAAAGCACAAGGAAAGTCGGTGCATCTTTCGCGCGGAAGCTCCAGAAGGAAGGGGTGGAGTGGCAGCTTGGCATCTACGGCTTCCTGTGCGGGACATTGCCGGTTGTGTCCAGGTCCTGGGGCTTTTAAGGACTTTAGGGACTTTAGGGTTTAGGGACTGGGGCTTTTAGGGACTTTAGGGACTTTAGGGTTTAGGGACTTTAGGGACTTTAGGGACTTTAGGGACTTTAGGGGTTTAGGGTTTAGGGACTTGAGGGACTTTAGGGTTTGGGGTCTAAGGTGATGCGGTTTAGTGGGCGCGGGAGGTTTAGGGCAATAGTTTTTTTTTTAAATTTTTTTGGGGGGGATTTAGGGGGTTGAGTTAGGGAATTAAGGGAGTCTAGGGTTCGGGGTTTAGAACCCCGGGCCTTCCGCCGGGGTCGGTTTTTGCAATTTCATCCTTCCTGCGCTGGCCGGGGCAGGGGAAGTTCTCAAACCATGTGCTGCAGGTTTTTGCAGGTCAGTGCCTGTAAATTTACAGATGAAGTCGGCCGTCTCTGTCTGCGTCAAACCAGGCAACGCTTGAAGATTCATCAGGCTTAGTAACTATATAGGACTATGCATCAGGCAACTATAACCAGTTAACACCCCATCCAAAGTACTGGTAACTGTACTTACGTACTAAGTCCCACGAACTTCCAAGCATTCTTCCAGAGCCTACTTCTTATTACTCGTATAGAAACCCTGTATAGAACCCCTTTCAGGAGCCCTTTTAAGCTACAAACTAGCTTCTTCTAGAGCCTTTTTGTTACACCCTATAGAACCCCTTTAAGGAGCCCTTTGAAGCTACCAAGGTTACACCCTATAGAACCCCTTTCAGGAGCCCTTGGAAGCTACAAAGTCCCATCAAAGGTTTGGCACGTCGCAAGTTCGCCTCTTCCGTGGCAATGAAGCTGTGAACGGCGTGGAGCTTGAAGATGGAGAGGCTGGGTTTCGGGTTCAGGGTTTCGGGTTTAAGGATGAGGGTTTAGGGCTTAGGGTTTAGGGTTCAGGGTTTAGGGGTTCAGGGTTTAGGGTTTAAGTTTCGGGTTTAAGGATTAGGGTTTAGGGTTTAGGGGTTTAGGGTTCAGGGTTTCGGGTTCAGGGTTTAGGGTTTCGGGTTCAGGTTTCAGGGTTTACGGTTTAGGGTTCAGGATTTAGGGTTTAAGTT